GATGTTCCAGTGGGGAGTTATCATACCCGTCATCGAAAATAATTACTTCTCTTTAATTACAAAAAACAACAACAAAACAATTACACAATATGTTTGTAAATAATTTTTTCTCTCTTTTAAATCTTCAAACATATATGTGCAAAGTTACAAACCTTAACAAGCATTGGTATTGATTTACCAGCCCATTGAAAATCTTGAAAAATTGAAATCGTGAATGGGGGGGTTCCCTTAAATGTAAGTTTTATTAATAGCCAGAAAACAAACATGCCAATATTCCAGATAAATTGAAAACTAATTTTTGTGTATGGCTGTAAGTCGATTTCTTGGTGAACAGGAAATTAAGGGAACATTTCAAATGCGAACAATTTTTGTACACTTTACCATACGAGATAGATCCATGATGATTCCTTTTGATAAAATGCATAGAATCACATTCTGAGTCGATTCAAGTCCGTCCATCTGTCTGTCCATTTTAAATTGTAAACAAAGTCCAGGTCGCATTTATGATCCGAATGAGATGAAATTTGGCACAGCTATCTTAGGTGGTACAAGGGCGATCTCTATTAAAATTGAAACCAGTAAGGAAAGTAGTAAGGTTGGCGTAGGGGATGATAGATACCAAGCACGGGCTCTGATTGGCTTTAACATGGCTTATCTTGGTCCATCTTTAATCTCAATTGTAGGCTCTGACCCCCCGTGGTGCCACCTTGGGTAGCTATTTTCATCACCCAATGAAATAGTGAGCTAATATGTACCGCGAGTTCACCCATAAGACCTATAAAAAATCGGTTGAGGCGTCGAGTTAGTTGCCTACTTTACTATGAAAAAGTATAGAAAAAGAAAACCAAACCCACCTAATGTTGACGACCACCGCAAACGTATAAAGGACCACGATCTGCGAATCTCCACTTGGAATGTGCACACTTTGTACAGAACAGGCGCAGTGTTCGCTTTGGCGGATGTACTCATGAAGCACAATCCCGATATCATTGTCTTATAAAAAATGCGATGGAAAGGGACAGGCGTAAGTAAATCAGACGATTAAGAAGTGTATTATATCTGCCATGAAACGAGACATGAATTTGGCAGTGGATTTATGGTTAACAGGAGAATAAAAGACCTCGTCTTCAGATTCACTCCAGTAGATGAGCGCATTGCTATAATCCGTATAAAACGAAGTTCTTCTACATCAGTCTCATTTGCGCCCATGCTCCGACCGAAAATAAAGATGAACGGACCAAAGACATATTTTACAAACGTCTAGAAAGAGCATATGACCGTTGCCCTGGCTATGACATTAAAATTCTACTAGGAGATTTCAATACAAAAATCGGAAGGGAAAATATTTTTGGTCCCACCGTCGGAAAATTCAGCCTCCATGAAGAAATATCAGACAACGGCATGAGGTTGATTGACTTTGAGGCAGCAAAAAACATGGTAGTTAGCAGCACCAGATTCAAGCATCTCGATATCTATCATGTTGTGACAGACGAAAATGCATTTATCCTGTGTTTCAGACATCCGATCGATCCGAGGTATGCAGCCAAGGTACGCACCCGTCTTAATGTAGCAGAAAAGGTGCGATCTAATGTAACACGGAAATTTGACGACGAAAAGCTGCAAACACAACAGATAGCAGAAGCCTACTCCGGTCAACTTACCCAACTGCTTGACGAAAGCACCCCTTGTCCCGATAATAATATAGAAGCACAATGGCAGAGAATTGCCCACTCCCTACAAACTGCAGCAAAAGCAACACTTGGGTACCAAAGACCACCATCAGGAAATCCGTGGTACGATCAGGAGTGTCGTAATGCTACTGATGTGAAAAACGCATCGCATAGGGCAACCCCTCGGGAGAAAAGGAGAGAGGAGAAACGTATTTTCAGAAAAAAGAAGAACTACAAGAAAAACGTGAGCGTGAGCAAATCGAGATGTACAGCAGTCAAAATGAAGTCCGAAAATTCTACCAACGGGTAAAACACCAAACCGAAGGCTTTGGTGTAGGCGCATGAAGAAGGAAACCTGGTGACAGATACAGACAGCGTGTTGAGGATCTGGAAGAAGCATTTTTAAAATTTCTGGTACCAAATAGTTGAGGTGAAGGGGGTATCCTCCAACCAATAATAGATGACTGTATAGAGTGTATACCACCTAGCCAAGATGAAGTCAGATTAGCAATCAATCGGCTGAAGAATAATAAAGCAGCAGGTGCCGATGGGTTACAAGCCGAACTATTCAAGACTGGTGGTCAGATGCTGGTAAGGAGCATGCACCAGCTGATTAGTACAATTTTGCTAGAAGAATGCATGCTCAATGATTGGAACCTCAGCATCCTGTGTCCCGTGCACAAAAAAACAAACAAGACGATATGTGCCAACTATAGTCTCCTTCCCATCGCTAATAAAGTGCTATCCAGCGTACCGTGTGAACGACTGCAGCCAATGGTCAATGACATTATTGGGCCATACCAATGCCGCTTTAGACCTTGCAAATCCACAATAGACCAGATTTTTACTCTACGCTAAATACTGAAAAATACCCACGAAAAGCATATCGACACATTCCATCAATTCGTCGACTATAAAGACGCATTCGACAGCCCTATCCGTTCAGATGTGTTTAAAGTCATGTCTGCGTTCGGCATTCCTGCAAAATTAATACGGCTATGCAGGATAACTTTAAGAGGTACAAAGTCAGCAGTTAAAGTCGGAAACGACCTATTGGAGCCCTTCAATACCGAACGAGAACACACACAAGGTGACAGTTTGTGATGTGAACTGCTTAACATCCTTCTGGAAAGGGGTCATGAGAGAGGCTGGGTCTGGCAGTAAACAGCGAGAAGACCAAACTGTGGGTATCAACACGCAAAACGTTTAGTATACTCGGACCAATTGTGGAACTTGAGAGCTACAGCTTCGAGGTAGTCAAAGATTTTATATTGTGAATTTGTGTTGTTGTTGTTCTTATTATTACTCTGTAGCTACTGCAAAGCTCGTCGTTAGAGGGAAATGTAGAGCCAAGCTAAAGCACAGCCTTAAAGGCGGATTTGATGAGCTGAAAAAAATTTGTAACGATCTGAAGAGGGTCTTTATAGACGGTATGGAGGAAGAATTTATCGAAATGCGGGAGGAATTGTTACATACGAACTGGATAGGGTCTATGTAAGGAAATAAATATTTGTAGAACAGCTAAAAGACTGAATAGGAGATGAGGATGTGTTTACAGGCGAACTGATGGGAGTTTTTATAGGCGAGTTGAAGGAAATCTTTATAAATTAGCCAAAAGGATAGGGAACTGAATGGAGTGTTTATAGATGAGCTGCGTAAATCTTTATAGCTGAACCAATATGAATATTTTTGGACGAGTTGAAAGAAGTCACTATAGAGTATTCTTCATGGACGAGGTGAAGGACACCTTTATAGACGATCGGAAGGGAGTCTTTATAGATGAAGTGGGGGGGGGTCTTCATGGATTAACAGAAATAACACTTTGAAGCCGAGCCTACAATTTGGAAAGTAAGCATTTTAGAAACAAGGCCACCTCTCGCCAGATACAACTCACACTCTACAAAACGCTGATACTACCCGTGTTGGTGCATGGATCTGAGGCATGGGTACACATGCAGATGAAGCAGCTCTTGAAGTGTTTTATAGGATAAGTGTCCGAAAGATATATAGACTGATCTGCGTTGATGGTGAATATCGCCGTCGTCGACATTATCAGACGTATCGAGCTGCAACGACTACGGCCACGTCTAGGCCATGTTATGCAAATGAATGCGATGCCCCAGCGCAAAATACATATAAAAGCGAACCTACCGATGACTCACGCTGAAGGGGAAGGCCACGAATTCGATGGAAATATCAAGTAGTAGACAACATTTCGGAGCTTTGGTCTTACAAATTGAATGAGATGCTCACAAGACCGACAGGCTTAGAATTTTTTTTAAGCTCGACTTATGGAACACCGTTCTGTTACAAGCCAGCTATTTACAATACAATATCAGCGTATGTAGACCCCTGTACCTATTTACGTATAACTTCCACATGCAATAAGGAATTTAAAGATCAACAATTCCTGTTGGATATAATACAAACTTCTCGGGTCTATGATCTTCAGGAGTATATATACGGCATAGAATTTAAATTTTCATACAAAAGTCTGGGTCTATTTGACCCACCAAATATTGGTCGATTAGCATGCTTGTTCCCTAGCCAAATCCCTTTCCCCATGGACAATTACATAATATTCGGTTCATAATTGAGGCCTTTAGATCGATCAGAAAAACAGACAAAACTAAATCTTTTTTTCCAAAAACAATATGGGTCTTCTTTGGCCTGAACCCTTTCTACATGCATAATTTTGTGACGATTGGTCCATAACTGTGGCTGGTATTGGGTTTAAATATTATGGACAGACACACATGTCTAGATCGACTCAGCTAATCGAGATATAATCGGTATACGTAACGGTGGATCTGGGACTAATATTTCGCAGAGTTACAAACTCTTGGGGCTGCACAATGCTATAAAACCCGAACAATAAAGTTGTGTAAGGTATAAAAAAACCTATTTTTCGGTGTTTATATCTAAAGAAATTAAAAATATTTCTTAATAAAAATATTTTATTTTTTTATTGATATTTATACATATATATAGGGAACCGCCATCAATTTGTGCCTTATGACCAAACAATAAAACATGGTTATAATTAGTCCGATGATGTTGATTGTTCGGCTGGCATCAATCATAGGCTGAGGTTTTGTGCTCCATACAGGATATGCATTACACACACATACACAACAACACACTCTCACATACATTTATGTACATATGTAGGTCATTAAATAATTTATTTCGCTATTTAAAAAAAAAAAACAACATTGTCATCTTTGTGTATGTAGCTGACAATCCCTGTGGCAATATTAATGTATTGTTGTTGTAAAACATTTTCGCAAAAAAAAATATTTTTTTTTATAAAAAAATCCGTTAACTTACTTTTCCTGTTCCTGTCCCAATTCATCGCGTTTAATCGATATTAAACGTTGTAAATTTTCATATTCCGCCGCCGCCACACGCTGTCGCTCCTCATACAATTGTTTCAATTGACGGATATTAACCAATTGTCTTTCGTATTCCTGGCGTAAATTATCAGACATGATTTTCATTTCATGTTCGGCAAATGATTTTTCAATTTCGCTCAGCCTTTGTTTTAACTGCAAAAAAAAAGAGGGGGATAGAGAGAGAAGAGAGATGAAAAAACCCATGTATAAAACAATTTCACAATAAAATGAACAGCCACAATGTGTTGAACATACGTCAAACATACATATATATATATATATGTGCATATGTAGGTATATTTGTATGGTTGAATATGTAAGCGGTGTGTAAATGGACAAATGAAGAAAAATTTGTTGTAGCACCGAAAAAAACGGGGAAAAAGTAACTCTCCAACTTCAAACGAAATTAATTGGCTATATGGCGGCAAATAATTGCAAGACCACACAAAAAAACCACAGACACTGAAAACAAGATGTCGATGTTTTTTTCTGTCTGTCTGTGTGTCTTTCTTTCTTTTTGCAGTTTGTGGTATTATTAAGAGCAGGGAATATAATAATAAGGAGTGAAGTCTTTTGAAAGTAATATGAATAAAAATTTAAATAACATTTGGTATGAATTAAATACTAAGTGTCTGAACTGCACATAAATATGTTCCTTAAAAATATTAAGAAACCAGTGAGCGGAGCAGTATAGTCGGACGGTTCTATATTCTGAGCCTGGGCAATATTTCGTGATATTTGCACCCTTTTTACCGATTATAGATCAACAACTCCTCTTTCTTAGTCTTGCATATTTTCTAAAAAAATTGGTCACTTTAGGTTTTGATTGATTTGACCCTCGGAAAATTGACCGATCATCATCTAAACAGCCGCTCTAAATATTTGGTCAGATCCCCTTCACCTTGTAAAATATGTGATGTTCTGTATATAATAATTGCCTCTAGAGCGACTAGAAAATCTGACAAAATTAAAGTTTTCGGTTCATTGCACACCCTGAATGAAATCTCAACTTCACCGAAAACTATAAGCGTCGTCATTGAACATAATCGGAACTTCATGTACAATTTCAAAGCGATCAGCGCGACATTTCCGTCCTCTAATGGAGTAATGGTAATAATATACACATAGTCACCTTTACTTAATTACGTATAACTCCCGCATCGGAGTAGATACAGCCATATAATTGGTATCAATTTGAAGGTCAACAACTCATCTTTGACAAACTATCAACATCTTGAGTATATGTCCTTCAGGAGCAAGTATATACGCCCCAGAATAAAAATTTTGTAATCTTTCACACAAAAGTCAGGGTCCATTTGACCCGTTAAATATTGTCCGATCTTTATCAAAGCAGGCATGCTTATTCTTAGGCCCGATCCCGTCCTCCATGTAAAATTTCACGATGTTCGGACCATAACTGCGGCCTCTGGAGCAGCCAGAAAACCGACAAAAATTTAGTATTTGGTCCATTTCATCCCCTAAATATTAACCGATCTTTACCAAAAACAATAGGGGTCTTCATTGGCCAGAACCCATCCTACATGCAAAATTTCGTGAAGATTGGTCCATAACTGTGGCCTGTATCGTGTTTACAAATTATAATGGACAGACGGACGGACGGACGGACACACATGTCTAGATCGACTCATCTAGTCAAGATATGACGATCGGTATACTTAAAGGTGGGTCTAGGACCAATATTTCGCGGCGTTACAAACTTTTGGGGCTGCACAAAGCTATAATACCCTGACAACATAGTTGTGTAGGGTATAATTAAATACAATGTGTATGAACTGCACATAAGTATTTTCTTTAAAGTAGTTAGAACAATTTCCACAAAAATTATACATGTACAAAAATGTACATGTATATCTAAATCTGGACCGATTTTCAGGAAACTTAACACACATCATTTTAAACTTAATTCATTACGCTATGCAATTTCGGGCAAATTAAAATATATATAGGGACTAGGGACACTCATCGTTCTACATATAATTCAAAACGCTATGCCAAATTTCGTGCAAATCTAATGTTATAAAGGGTCTTTTGTACAATATTTACCTCAAATCGGACGAAAATATATATGGTAGCTATATCTAAATCTGAACCGATTTTCAGGAAATGTAGCACACATGACTCTAGACTTATTTTAGTAGGCTATGCCAAATTTCGTGCAAATCGAAGGACATATAGGAACTTTAGTGCACCATTAACATCAAATCGGACGAATATATATATATATATATATATGGGAGCTATATCTAAATCTGTACCTAATTTTCCCACCTTCATAGGGTTCGTCCTTGCGCCAAATAAATTAGCTGTGCCAAATTCCATCCAACTTGAATCAAAAATGCGACTTGTACTTTGTTTACAATTTAACATGGACAGACAGAAGGAAGGACGGACATACATAAATCGACTCAAAAGGAACCATGTGCATATCTCGTTTCCTTTTGCCTGTTACAAACATATGCACAAAGACAATACCCTGTAACACAGTGTGGTGAACTATATGAACTATATGACTTTATTTAACATGCTTCGGAATGTCAGATTTGAGCCAAATGTGCACCGTTTTCTTGTCTCTCATAGATGTCCTGCTCTATATATGCAAAAAAACACTAGTAGTCGATTTATCCAATCCTCCCTAGATACCAATTTTTTATCATTAAAGAAATTTTGCTATGCAAGAAAAATATGATACTCGCTTGGTCTGTAAGGCGGAACGGAATCTACGAAATCAAAATTGCCCTGTTACAGTATCGGAACCATTAAATATTGAAAAATGTTGACCCTATTGTGGAGGGGGGTACCAGATGGAGAGGACCAATGGGACCCATCTTCGGACTTGAACTGGGCTTAGTAAAGATAATAGGTCGTGCAAAGATTGGTTCAAATCGGATAGTCCATTCGCATGATATTTCAAAAGCGTGTTTTTAAAATGTTGACCCGAATATTCAGATAATACAACCGATTATAGTCCGGTTCAACAAAATTGGCATGCTTGTTTACTAGCTTTCTAATGTTATGCATATAAATTATTAAAACCGGTTTTATTATCTGAGTATCCGGTTCAAAAATTGAGAAAACCGGTTGTTTTTGACGTATTTGAAATAAATATATATGTTTTATGAAATAATTCGGTCGAATCCGACAGTTCTTCTTAAAAAAGAATTTCAATTGGGTAAGGGGAATCATTCAAAAATTCGCTCAAAAATCAACAAAATGGCGGACCTTTAAAAAAATATTTTTGAAAAATCGCCTATTTTTTACCACAAACCAAGTTAAAAAATGAGAAAGATCTCAACCGATTGGAATTATCCTAGTTCATACGATAGCTATACACTCCCAGTGAAATGTGTCAAAATTTGGAACCGATTGGATTATTAGTTTTTGAGTTATCGTGCCCGCCATTCGTAAAACACTAATTTGAGAAAAATTCGTTTAATGTTTGAGAAGGACTCTTGCCGTCACTTGATGTTGGCACAATAAATCGACTACATATAAAGAGTTCTTGAGATTTTCACTTGAAATTTTGTAGGGACATTCTTGATTAGTGTAGATTCGAAAAACTAAATAAAATTTTTTGACCCCGAGAATGGGGGATTCCCCTTAATTGAAATACAAACACATAGAGGGTTTTAGAAACATGAGTAATATCGATTTCTCGTCTTTGAGGACCCCACCTAAAATCTTATGAGCAAAATTTTTGTAGAACATTGCGAAAAATCACATTTTGTGATAAATTGAAGTCCGGTTCAATAAATCCAGGATGAAAAGGAAACACAAGGAATTGAGTTAGAAGGACGAAATGTTCTACAAACAAATTCCTCATTTCATTTCACTGAATGGATGTAATCTCAAACCAGTAATGGAAGTAGAAAATCCGCGGAAATCGAAAGATATATAGGGATTTTTACGAAACTTCACACACATCATTCTAGATTTAATTCAGTACGATACGCCAAAATTTGTGCAAATCAAAAGATATATAGGGGCTATGGTACACCATTTACATTAAATCGGACGAAAATATATATGGGAGCTATATCTAAATCTGAACCGATTTTCACGAAACTTCACACACATCATTCTAGATTTAATTCAGTACGATACGCCAAATTTCGTGCAAATCTAAAGATATATAGGGGCTATGGTACACGATTTACATTAAATCGGACGAAAATATATATGGGAGCTATATCTAAATCTGTACCGATTTTCACCAATTTCAATAGGGTTCGTCCTTGGGCTTAATAAATGAGCTGTGCTGAACCACAGTGGGGTGAAGAGTATAGAAATACATACAATAGCTGCAAATGAAGATATGAAGTTATCTCTATATGAATAATAGGGTCGCCTGCAAAAAAAAATGATTACGCCATATTTCCGAACTTTGATATATGTCGATTTTTTCCGTTTGAAGTTTACATACACTCACCAAGGTATTTTACTACCCAATAGGAATTTTCAACCACCACCGCCGACCATGAATTCGAGTTTGCCTCACAGTATAATAAAACCGATGTTTTTACCCGTTTTAATCTACCGATTCTGTACATAGAAGTTCATTTGTCAGTTATATGATTTTATTATCGTAAGTAGAAAGCCCTCTATGGGCTTGATTAAAACTTTTACAAAAAGATTTCAATGATATTACTATTGATATTAATAATAGCTTAATAATTTGAAAATAATAATTCTAAACTTCAATTGAATGTAATTCCAACTAAAATTGAAATTAACTTTTGTAGATATGCACAATATTTGCCTGTCTCAATTGATTAATATTTTGCATTTCTTGGAAAATATGGTCAAGTAATCAAAACTATTAGCAATAACTTCAGAAAATTAATTATATCGACAGGTGTGCGGACAATGAAGGCTCTGCAATGGACATGATGGATATTTCAATTAGCCTAACAATAGATTGGAGAATAAAAATTCCATGTAAATGGAATATAAATTGGCCAGTCGTGTTATATGTAAATATTAAACATATCATAATAGCTATAAAGAAAGAATCCGAACCAATGAATAATCTGAAGGGACAAATTACAGCTAAATAGCCACAGCTCGTCTCTATACCCTTCTTTATATTTTCTGACGGCAATAACAAAAAACATTGATTTTACAAGGAACAATAA